CAAATCATGGGCCCAGCAGTTCTCAAGCTATTAGTAACGGGCGTAACGTGTAACCAACCCGACTTTGATACGACTATATATAGATAAGACAGAATTCCATAACATAATTAGACTTCAGTCTATAAAGAACGTAACATAATCAGATATAGGTAACTCCTCTTTATTCAAATCCAGATGTTTCCCTTGTATGAATACACGGTACCCAAACGGCTGGATTAAACGAAAAGCCAACGTACATTTGCATAAGTAGAGGAGGCAAATTCACACGGTTATTTCCTATCTGAGTATTACGCTACAACCGTCAAGCTCCTTTAAAGATTAACCAACGTCGTTCGAGTTCCTATATAACTGACGACAGCAAAGGGCCTATAAGCATAGACAAAGAGCCGTATACCGTCCTTATCAACAATTGTGGAGGCAATTTATTATTAATTAATTATTAACGCAAACACATTTCAAATTATTTAATGATATCATTGATGACATGGCTTTTGTGGTTAAAAATAATCGCTTGTACTAATTAGGCTATTGCATACTTTAAATGAATGCGTTAAAAAGGTGTATGTAATTAAATAATTAGCATGTACCTATTATGTTCAGTTTTTTATTAAGTTCAAATAAGAAAGCAAATGAAAACGATATCGACCGAACTAAAAAAGAGTAAAAAAGCTAAACGCCCAAAAGTATTTTACAGTGAAGAATTAGGTATAAGCAGGGACTTTTCGAGTAAATATCATTTCGTATAAAAATAAAATTTTGCTTAGTTTAAATCGTGGTATAATTAATTGCACCCACGAGCTTTATGCTCTCTTACATCGTATGACTTGCGTGATGCTAACAAAGCCAGCCATTTATTACTTAGGCCACCCTCAGTCCACTCTGCAATGACCAGCTATTATTTAGTAACCCACTACCAAGCGGCTTGAATTCATAGCTCTGCCTACATATTCAAATTCAAAACATAAATCTAGTTGTTCAGTCAAAACAAGTTAAAACTATGGATAAGGTAACTAGAAAAACACTATGGCCATCACGCAATATTTTTCCAGTAGTGATGATAGAACCCACATCCTTTGGCACCGGAGACAAATTCAATATCAATATTATTACCATGTATATTAAAAGTATTTTATTTCAATTTTGTCAATAATCAAAGTCGAATTCAATGTATCTTTATTCAATACTAGCTGTGCCCACGACTTCGACCGTGTGGAAGATTAAATAAAAAAAAAAAATTAAATATAAGTAGCCTAAGTTACTACTTATCACCATAGCTATCTGCCAGTGAAAGTCCCGTCCAAATCGGTTCAGCCGTTTCAGAGATTAGCCGGAACAAACAGACAGACAGACAGACAAATATTGTAAAAAATGTTACTTTGGTATATGTACCGTGTATACATCCATATGCATTTAGTAAAAAGCGGTTATATTAATATTGCAAACAGACACTCCAACAATATTTATCTGTATAGATAGGCTTAACTTAAGCTCTTATTGAACGTCAACAAAAAATCTACCACCGGTTCACTAAACTAGACCTGCACAGAGAAGAACCGGCAAGAAACTCTGCGGTCTTGTTCTTTTTGTTATATATATATTTTTTTTGTGATGCAATTATACAAACTTATAATATATTGTATACGGATAATTTATTTTTTTTGACAAACTTATAAATTTTCCCTGTTCATTGTTTATTACGGCATATTACATAAGTGACCCACAGCGCATTGGTGGACTTTTAAAAGTGATTGAGTCAGCATTTAAAATATTTCACTGTGTCTGCACCGAGATTTAAATTCAAATTGTTCGAATATATTTCAGTAAAAGCGTGCACCCGGACATAAAACTGTAAAATTAATGAATACATGAAATTTTAAAACTATTTCATCTGTATACACAGAAGAGATCTGTGCAGAGAATGAACTTCCGGAGAGAAGAAATACTTAATGACCTATCCAACCAAGCATCAATCCACCCTATATTTCAATTTCTAATTCATTTATCTTTATCATTATTTTAAGATAACCTCATTATTAGAAATTAAGTCCCGTGTCGCGGATGGTTTCACTAAGATATAAAACATGTGTTACTTCCATACATCGTCAAGCAAAATTAAAGTATTTGACGTTCCATATTATGGTGCTTTTAGTTAAAGAGGATTATCCAAGGAACTCATTTACCCAACGAAGCAGGCTCCCGGAAATTCGCAACTGTCATGATAGCTTAGGATTAAGTAGTTTAAATTAAAGTCGTCCTTCTTGTCGCTATTGACCTCGACTGTTTTAGTAAGTAGAATGAAGCAACATCGACAGATATAATTTAATGATCTAAACAAGTTTTAACATCAGACAAGAAAGGAAATTTTTGTCACTACATAGTATAAAACAAAGGTGTCCTGATGTCCTTTTTCCCCTATGTATATGGTTAGATCTTTAAAACTTCGCCACAGATCTTGATGCATAGACGTAGGTTTATATGTATAAACCATTGCACCGCGCCGGTGCAAAGCCGGTACGGGTCGCTAGTTAACTTTTAAAATTGAGTTGTTTTTATCTAAATTAATTAACACATAAATTAAGAAGCCAGTTTCATTTGTAATTGATTTTATAATCAATTACAAATGAAACTGGCTTCTTAAACAATGTGATAACCATTAATGCAATTACTTTTTAATGTGCTCTGCGTTTTGTAAAAGACAACAGGAGTTATGAATCCGTTTAGCACGTTGGAAGTTTTGAGATAAAAAAAATTAGGAAAATTTTAGGGGAAATTAAAAAAAAAAAAGACTTTTTAACAGCAAATGTGACATGTATAGTTTTCAAACAGTTTATTGTAAAATGTCATATGAAAAACTGTTCGTTTGCTATAGGAAAGACGCTAGATGGCACCAAGCATTGCTTAAATGTAATGAGAAAAAAGAAGATAAACAAGTTGAGATTACCGTTTAGCTCGGAGGCCAGAGCACAACTATAGGACACGGGTACAAAATATAAGCAGCGGTGAAGTTTTAAGTCTCTTTTTCTACAAATTTCAAAATTCATCTTAAGTGCAAATAATAGCACTATAAAAATTTAAAAGGTTGTGAGACTTTTAAAGTCATTTACTTTATGAGATAGTGTTTTAAATAAAGCTTTTGGGAAGTAACATGGAATATCAAGTAGCAGCCTTAAGTAATGAAATCAAACAAAAACATTGCCGAGTCTAAAACAAAGTTGCTACTTAGAAGTTTCGCCCATCCATGTCGGTAGCTTAACGACTACTATAGAACTGTCGTTAACGCAGTAACGAATGCGGTAAAAAGCTTTTTTAAAACGAGTTTTATTATTGACATTTCTTTAATAACGATTTGAATGATTTGATTGAATGATGACTTTGTAGTTGCTCATTAATCAATATAATTTTAACAACTGTGGTAGGGCCACACAACAGATACACATAAAATTTATCGTAAGTAGAGGTGTTCTGTTTACCTACTTTATCAAGCATTGGCTGATGCAATTATTTCATACGGATTGGGACCTTACGGTCTCACTTTTCCTACGTACTTTATTAGTGCATATCATTAACCATTACGTTTAATTTTCTATCTTTTAGGGCAATCTAATCATAATCAACAAAAACATTTTCTATAGAGATGTGAGAATAAAATAGTATGCAAGTTCAATGTTATTTGACAAGTGAGGTATCGTTGAAAGCGTCTGGTCGTCCTCTGTTTAGGATATATGATGTAACATTAATATGATGTCCGCTACAGGATATAAATTCATAGACTAAAAACAAATAATGATGTCAAATACAGATTGCGCTGTAAAGAGTATGGAACAAGAAAATATTATTATCTGAAATTGTAACGTCCAAACCCTGTTATCGTCTATTAAATAATTACTAAAAAAGTAATGTATTTTATACAAATTTATGGTGATATTCATTGGATGGGTAATTTTTATATCTAAAATTGGGTGCCATTGCAATCAGACTGTACGCACCAGGTTCCTTAAGAAGCAGAATACAGCAGTTACAATTATTTATAAAGTTTTATCCTTTACACTAAAACTTCAACGATTTACTTGTACTTTTATTTGTCTCCTATTTGCGAGTGTTTATTGTTATGCTTGTATGAAGATATTACACTTGCTCAATTTATTTTTGGTAAAGTTGTAAGACTTCCAATTATATACGCCATATCGTTATCCATTATGAAGCTAAGTGAAATTCTGAAGTATTATATATATTTTTCAAGAACACATTTAACGAGTTTTAATTATTTATAACATCTCGCTCCATAAAAAATCCAAAACATTTTTAGCTTTTTGTTGCGAAAGCATTTTTAATCCGTACTGAAAAATGAATTCGCTCTCAATTAGCGTGGTGGCAGGGGACACAGAGGAATGCAGTCGACAAATCAACTTAATGTTTCGTGCGCTGCGGACGACCTGTGTGAATGCAGGCCACAAAGGCAGCCGTTTGTTATTTACTTCAAGCGAGCGACGTACACCGTGACCTGTACATTTCTCTTACGATTCCAGTTTGCAGCATTTTAATATAAACCTGTCAAAGAAGAAAGCCCCAAATGGCCATTACTCTAAGCCCATTATTGTTACCGAGCTTACTAGAAAATATGCACAAGACCTATTGGTCTAGTCTTTATGTCTGATTCTAGAACTAAGAATAAATTAAAGAAAATAATTTTTGAGCAAACGTTTTATTAACTTTTAAATTGTTTTAAAAATTGTTCATAACCACATTAGGAAATTTTTCACACATAGGTAAAAATGTCAATGAAAAATGAAATAAAGAATAATTTTCCACAGTACCCGAAACACTTACAAAGCTTTAATATTATCATTATTATTACCAAAAAGGTTTATTTAATCTTTGCGTAGTTTTGTGAAAGACTTATTAGGCTTAATATTTAAAAATGAATCATATTAGAACTGTGCAATTAACAAGAAAACAAATTTACAACTATTTTGACAATTCAAAATATAAAAATATGTTCAAACGCTGTATGGACATTTGCGATTTTCCCACCAACGTCTGAACAGAGGATCTTGCATTTTCAATCTGAAGTACGGATTGAAATAGGGGTCCACTTGATTGTCGAAGCCGAGGCAGTCGGGAAATCTATATGGTTTCAGAGTGGCTTCTGAGCTCTTACCGGCTGAGGGATCGGTGGTAATTATTATCAACTGTGGATCGGGAGTCGTTTCGATTTCGGTATCAACTGCGTCCGTGGCATGAGTGACTGTCGGCGCTGCATCAGTTTCAGGAGAAGTTGGAGTTGCATGGTTTAAAGACAGCGAAGCGATCAGCGTCAGCGCGACCAAAGAGTTCTTCATCTACAACAAAACGGAACGGTTTTAAATGTGTTTATAACCGCAGTGATTAAGCGGCTCATTTGGGCTAAGGCGTATGTGACGTTTCTCAGTATGATAAATCCGTGTTATGGAGCAATGCGCCCATTTCTAGTTGCTACTGCTCCATTAAAACGTAGCAGAGAAGTACAATGACCCCTACAGAGGTCCAGCGTAGTAAAGTATTTTACATGCACTTCATCGCGAGGAAAATAATCAATATGTATGAACCTGCCATATACGGATATCGAAAGCATTTATAATTGCTGTAGCTGGTTTTACTCAAAATTTCTTAAATAATGGTTACGTGAAATGGACGCTCCTTACAACAATATTGCAGTTGTATGAACGTAGTCCTAATTATAAGACTAAGGATGTAAAAAATTTGGCAAAGTTTTGCTTTTAACTTAAAAATCTCTTATATAAAAATTCATTATTTCAAAACATTTATTATTTTAGATAGATAGAGAATAAAGAGAATTATCACAGAAAACAAGAATAAAAAGTTCGCTTGCATACTCGGTCACAAAAATTATTCGTGTCTAAACCAAGAACAAAGATAATGAAATAAACTTATATTTTTACCTTGACGATTGTTGCTGGCGTGTTTACGAAACGAAAGATATTCGATATATAAAACTCAGCACAAATACCCATCGTTATAAATCTAAAAGTAAAATGGGATTTTAATTAATTTTTAAAAGCAATATCCATTTCTATTTTTAGTTATCTATGTCATCCAATATTGTAGAGATAAAGTGTATGAGCTATAGTAATCCTCGGAACTACTGCAACGATTCTATAATATACGTATATAATAACTCAATTGGATACAACATAGGTCATAAATTATTGAAATAAAATATTTAAAAAAATCCTTTGTTGCCAATGAATATTACACAGAGGAAAAGAAGGCGTTAAGATTTTCGTCGCTATGGCTAACAGCCGTTTAGCGCAGTGGCTAGAGCGTCAGGCCGCGAATGCCGAAGACGTGGGTTCGATTCCCACAGCGGCGACAATCTTTTCGTACTTTTTCTACATGTTTCAATGTTCAATCTTAAGTGCAGAGATTAGCACTATAACAAAAAAACTTCAAAATTCATTTTAATAGTTAAAGATATCGGAAATAACATCGATAGATAGAGATGCACTCTGTACATACTCTATACAGATAAATAAAATCAGAGTGTCTCTTTGTCATATTAAAATAAACGCTTTTTACTAAAAACATATGGATGTATAAACACCAAAATAAATATTTTTAACAAGTTTTGACTGCCTGTCTGTTTGTTCCGGCTAATCTCTGAATCGGCAGGACCGACTTTGACGGGACTTTCAGTGGCAGATGTGATAAATACTAACTTAGGCTACTTTTATTTCACGTTTTTTTTTAAATTCGACGCGGACGAAGCCCTTACGCTAGTCTTAGTAAAGCAGTCGGTATGGTCATTAAAAATTAATTTATTTTTCATGAGAGAGTTGCGTCTCATCAACGACAAAACATTGTATTGTATTCTGGACACTAAAAAACCGGCCTTAAGGTTGTTTTTGTAATAAATTTTGCGATTATCACACCTTGTACTTTGCTAATAGGCATTGCTTTTAAGAAGTTATTAATATTTCATTTTGAGTGCATTGTTGTTATATAAAGACGGATGTTTTTAAGATTCTTTATCAAATATCGACTATTGTTTCTTGCGTCAACACGTTCCAAGAATCAGAACTTCTCTAAAGGTACGTACATGTTTTTTTCCATTTCATTGTTAATGTATTATTCACAGTTTATGACCTATGTAAGGATATGGCTTGTGGCACAATTATCCGAGATTTGAACCCATAACCCTAGATAATAGTGGAAAACAGAGATGATAAAATAACATTTCCTCGCCCACTGCACATCATAAGGCAAGTCTGTGTATTAGAGACTATCAGAGAACCCTGTTCAAATCTACTTTTTTATTTTAGATGGCCACCGTAGGAAACATGCTTCGTGTCCTTTTGAGCAGGGGATAATTGGCCGCGAGGTCCCACCCATAGCATACAGGATGCGGCCACTAAGTCAGTTGCATTTGCAGTCTACATTGCGGAGGGCGCCGTCGGTGAGGATGTTGCAATGGCAAATTCCCCGATGAGCCCAAGCTCATCATTGCCGCACCTACACCACACAAAACTGTCTAACACAATATCCCTCATTGTCGTAACCAAAAACAAGATTTGTGATTCAAAAATCATTTTATTTCCATACAAAAATTCACAATAGAAAAATGAAATAAACCATTTATTGCCACCCTAGTAATTGTGTTTGATTGTATATTTCTAACTTTGAGGTAAAACTTGTACCTTTTAAATTTTAATAGCGACATAGGTGACATTTCTAGATTTCAAATATTTCATTATAAAATGTCATATGAAAAAATCGTCGTTTGCTACAAAAAAAACGCACTAGAGCATTACTTTACAATGCAATAAAGAAAGTAATCCGTTTAGCTCAGAGGCTGTAGCGTTGGGCGCGCATCGGGATGGTTTCAGGACGCAGGTTCAAATCCTTGAATTAGCTAAAATCTTTTCCTCCTTTTGCTACAAATTTTTAATTTAATTTTAAAACTTAAATCATTTAAAACGAAAAACCTAAATAAAAACAGATTCAAGAAATTTCAAGTGAATCAATGTTTAATGAAAAAAGAATAGATAATAAATGTACGCATTAGAATACGTAGTGTAATCCATAATATGCATATATTTATAGAAATTATTGTTTATGATTTAAATTTTAATTTCCAGAAGGAAGGTATTAAAATATTGTATTATATTTATCATTTAATAAACCTCACTTTTTGAAATAAGTCCACAAAGCTATTTTTCGGCAGCCCTTGCAGTTTCTCCCTTAATACGCTTCTATTGGCCCCAGTTTCTGAGTGAATAGAAATTATAATTTAATATATTCAAATTGCATTTTATTGATTTTCTGGAAAATCTGTAATTGAATATTAAGAAAAGTCATATAAATTATTATTATAAGGTGCCGAGCATCGCATGGAACTAGCAAATGTAAAAAGAATGATCATTAAGACACCAAATCTCTGGATAAAGTTAGAAATTGTTGCTATTCATCCCGTTTTACGGTACCGTGATCGGCGGAGCTTATAAGGAGCTGCTACGCGAGGCGCTTTTAGTAAAGTCCTGTTCAGGGATGAGATTATGCCATATGAATTAACTTAATCAAAGATTTTCAATGTAAAAAAAAGTAAAATAACAGCCTATACATATCCCACTGGTGGGCAAATGCCTCCTCTTTTACAGAGGGTGCCAGGGCATAGTCCACCACAAAAATCCCCATTTGTCGTGACTCCTAATTTCGAGAACACTCCCCTATCTGCCACAGCTAGTATCGGAATACTAGGCGTCGAAATCTCGAGCAACGTCCAGTTCCGCGGTCAATTGGAAGGTAAGGCCAAATTGGCCTCAAAGAAACTTGGTGTGCTCAAGGCAAGCAAGGCGAGACAGTACTTCACGGCGGCTCAACGCTTAAAACTCTATGAGGCGCAAATTCGGCCCCACATGGAGTACTGTTCTCATCTCTGGGCGGGGGCCCCTCATTACCAGCTTCTTCCATTTGACCGCATTCAACGTAGGGCGGCTAGGGTTATCGACGATCAAAGTCTTTCCGATCAGCTTGATCCTTTGGCTCTGCGTAGAGATGTTGGATCACTCTGCATCTTCTACCGCATTTATCACGGGGAGTGTTCTGAGGAATTGTTTGGATTGATCCCGGCGGCTGAATTCCACTATCGGATATCGTGCCAAAAATTTCATCCACACCACCTCGATGTCCAGCGTTCCACAACAGCGCAATTTTCAAGGCATTTCTTGCCTCGCACAAATACTCTGTGGAACCAGCTGCCGCCGGCGGTCTTTCCGAACCGTTACGACCTGGGAACCTTCAAGAAGAGAGCATACTCTTTTCTAAAAGGCCGGCAACGCATTTGTGAGCCCTCGGGTGTTGCAGGTGTTCATGGGCGGCGGTAATCACTTACCAACAGGTGAGCCACCTGCTCGTTTGCCCCTTTTCTCCATTAAAAAAAAAAAACCACGCGGCCCCACTGCGAATTGGCGTAATTCACATATTTTCGAAATATTTTTTTTTGTCATTATTTCGAAAATATGCAGGTTTCCTCACGATGTTTTCCTTCACCGTGGAGCCCGTGATAAAGTCATAGACTCAGTTGAACCAACTAATAAGTTCATATTTGTTTGAAGATTGTTCAATGTATAAGTGCCCGATTACTGTTAGATGTGCACCTACGTCACAGTAAGCGAGTGAAACCAGCCACAGTGGAGCGAGTACCTGCTGTTCTACCATACGTCAGAGGAGTCACCGACAAGATTGGCTACATCTTAAAGGGCTTCAATTAATACATTCTACAAGCCGCTGAAGAACATAGAAGATCGAACAAGTCTACAGTCTGCAGTCTGTTTGTGAGCACACCTTAAATCGGCCCAACATGAGGTTTGATAGACCACAGATCGTTGCAAAAGAACACCGATTCCTCCCAAGGATGATTCGCGAGGCTATTGAAATTAAAAAACACGATTAAAAGCCGTGGGTTCGATTCCCACAGCGGCGACAATCTTTTCGTACTTTTTCTACATGTTTTAACGTTCAATCTTAAGTGCAGAGATTAGCACTACAAAAAACTTTAAAATTTATAAAAAGCAATGGCGACACCTCTCATCGAATTATCGTTGTAAAACGATATTCGAAATTGTTTGTATGCTGGAAAGGATATAACAATAGATGCTCCAAGCATTGTTTCAAATGCTAAATAACAATGTAGAAGGAAGGCGTTAAGATTTTCGTCGCTGTTGCTAACAGCCGTTTTGCTCAGTGGCTAGAGCGTCAGGCCGCGAATGCCGAAGACGTGGGTTTCGATTCCCACAGCGGCGACAATCTTTTCGTACTTTTTCTATATGTTTTAATGTTCAATCTTAAGTGCAGAGATTAGAGAGAGAGAGGGTTGGGTGCTACCATCAGCTTGGGATGCTATCATCAATAAAATTAAATCTAGGCTCAAACGAACCACTACTGCAAGACGAGACACAATTAGCTGCCTCTGCATAGATCGGACACAAAATTAATAATTCAAAAACTGACGGTAGCCCGGTTTAACTTTGACAATCAGACGTCCAACGCCTCAGTCTGTCGCGTGACCATGAACGCTGTAAAGGGTCGAAACGTCGGGAATTAAAATTAAAAATAAACGCGATAAATCCATAAAAATTAGTTTAATTTATAATGTTTAGACGCGTAAATACAAGAAATTATCAGAGAAACAAAAAAGTTACAGATTTTCGAGATGGTTTATACCGTTCTGTCCCATATTGGGGCGGTCCACTCTTACCGACGACAAAACACCTAATTCAAAAGTTCGTCAGTTTGTCTTATAGGGCATTAGGTCTTTAGGCTTTATGCAGTAAAGTCCCTGCTTTACAACCGAATTTATTTATCATATCGTGCATCAAACATTAAATATCAATCAACAGAACAATTAATACTTTGTAATTAATACTTTTAAATTAGAAATTCATTATTGATAATATCGAAAACATTAATCGTAACTTTATTACGGTTGTAATCAGTACAATGTTTATATTTGCTGTGTACAACTAAATTTATTCAGAACCAAGTTGTTTTCAGACTAGGCAACACATCCACATCAAGGTAAGTAGATTCTTTCGAAGAATTTAATTAAACCTTTTTTTCTTTTCATATAGACTCTGTTCTGTTAAATTGATTATAGAAATTAATTAAGCAAATTTTTTTGACCGATTTCTCGCACATATGTGAATCTTTAAGATATGCAACTGGTAGCCCGAACATAATAACAAACGTATACTATACCAGAAATTTTATTCCATATCTTCTTAATTAATATGGGGTTTCGTATTCTATTATTTTTTGTCATAATATTCTCAAACGATTAAATTAAAAGGTCTGCAAAGGCACAATTGTCAAATCTATAAGTCGTAACCAGTGCTGAAATATATAACGTATTCCAGATGAAGAAGTTTCTGATTTTCCTGGTGCTCATGGTGGCCGTGTGCTACGCCGCCCCAACCGAGCCGGAAGCTGAGCCCGAGGCGCCTCCAGCAGAAGGCGCGGACGCGATTCCGGTGCCAATGCAGGGCCCCTTGGCCGATTTATGCAAATATCCACTGACGTTAGTCCCCTTCTTGAAGGACAATTTGAATAATCCCATAGTGGAAGCAATCATTAAAAAGTTGTGTCCGTTCTGATTATAATTCATTTGTTGTATCATTCTCGCCAATGTAATTGGCCCCACGAAAAGATTTCAAATAAACACTATTAAAATTTTTACACAATTTTTATTCATATATTTCCACGTGCCAATAAATTTCATCTATGTTTTCATAGTGTTTACTTGGCAGGAAATGGTTAAACACCTGCATAATTTATTTAAAATTGGAATTATTTTTAGATTGATTTAAAAGATACTTTTCGACTTTAAGGCGCTGTATGCAGTAAAAATAGGTTTTTCAAACATCTGTATATTTTGTAGCAGCAGAATAAATATATGTTAATCTTGATCTTACATTCTAATGGCCCATTGTTTTCAAAACATATTCTCGATATATTTTGTCGATAGAAAAAATTCCTAAATCTACCTTTAAAAATGAGATTCAAATCCAAAAATAGACGATAAATCAACAAATCTTAATGAAATTAATATCAATGGTGTAGAATATTTTAATAACCATACTTCAATCAACAAATTAAGACAACAGTTGTCTTAATTTGTTGATTGAAGTAAGATATTTGTAAATATTAATTTAATTCATTAAAATTAATTCGAACACGAAGACCAAAACTCAGCTCCGCCGTGGCCTTGTTTCGGTTCTTTCATTTCCACACGTTGAACAGAGAGTGCTACATAATAATAGGCTATGCGATGCGTGTGAGATGTGACAAAATATCGGTTCTACTAATAATTGCTGGTTTATCGATATAAGGATTTTATCGATATTTTTTTAATTTTCATTTTAGTTGAGAAATTAATATAACGTAGTAAGTCTTGAAATTTTAAAGGATAAATTAAAATTCCTTAAAAAATATGTCATAAAAAATCGTATTAGTAATTTCTGCAACATTTTAAGAGCTATTTCTTTAAAAGGACAAAAACAAAAAATAAATCATTATTCGATTATTATTGTTTTGTTTTATAATGTAATTTGCCTTTATTAATTTATTTGACTTTAAGATGTATTTTTAAACAACTCCTTTAAATGTTAATTAAAAAAATAATAATTAACAGGAAGAAGATTTTCTAAAATTGTTGATTACATTCTCATACTTTATATTTGTTTGTTTTATATTATACCTTTTATACTATAAAAGTAAAAGACAATTGTGGTCTATAAAGAACCGTAAATATTTTATAAAATTAATTTTAAAGAAGTTTTAATCAAATTGACTATAAACAACTTATTAATCAATTAACGCTTGTTGTGAAGCACATCTGAATTTAAAAATATACCACTGATCAGTTAACTTTCACCCAAATGATCGAAATGTAAAAATATGAGCCCATATAAGAGCCCAGCACTACGGATCTTTCAGAACCGTATTATGCAATATTTAAACGTATACAGATTCGTTGGTCTTCGGCAATATAACGTTTAATCATATAAGTAATTGCATCCCACATGTTAATACAAACAATTTTTCTTTTATGTTGCTACAAGAAATGTAAAATGATTAAACATCATCAAGTATAACATAACAATACACTTACACAAGGATAAATCTCTGTGCACGTCACTGAATGTATGATCAACTCATGTAAAGTTATTATAGTAATAGTTTAAATTTTAAATGGTTTAAATTTAGTTTTTTTAATTAATAAATATTTTATCTAGTATCGATTTTATCACCGTGTCACAGACACGGATAGAGTGAGCTTAGTCAAAGTCATAATTTATTTATTCAACATAAGCCTATATATATATATATATATATATATTAGAAGAATTTAAGTCTGAATTATAAGTTATGGGGCTTCCACGCGAAGCGGACAGGTAAAAAAAGTTGATGTTTCCGATTTTAGTAATATTTGATTATGTTATGGTATTTTTTGAATCTGATATTGTCATTGAGGAGTCAAATCTGATTTTTAACCTCTTTCTGTACATAAACATAGTAAGATTACTTTGCCTCATTGATATTGAAGCCATTTCGCACCCTGCGTAGAACGTGACATCTGCAAAATTGTAATTGTTCAGGACGGCCGATTCAAATTATATTTTTTTTATTTTGGTTATAGTTTTCTTATACATAGCAGTTGCTATTCAAATTTTTGAGGTTTGTAATATTATTTGGTTACTCACATTTTTAAAGCTCTCTAAATCGTAAACTACATTTTATACTGTAAAAATATTTTGTATCTGGATTGAGGACACATATAGGTAAAACATAATCAAATATTACTAAAATCGGAAACATCAACTTTTTTTACCTGTCCGCTTCACGTGGAATGCCCCTTATAAAAAATTTAACGAATAATAACTTGGCTTAACTGTAGTACTAGTTCTGTAGCATTAGAAAAACACACAAATTCTAATAGAAGTTTCTAACATTTGAATTAACCCAGAGTAGGTACCAACTGACATAAGTTAAGGATATTTTCACATCGCTTTTCCAGGCCCTTTTGTACATAAATATATCTCAATGATAGTAGTTCCCTAGCGTTCTTAGCGACCCTCTTAATCAAAGGGTTTAATTATCTACGTGCTAATTTTATGAATATAACGGATAAAAATGCTTAACAGTAGTCTCGTAATATTTCAGTTCCATTTCCTATAATCGACATCATTTCCAAATCAAAATACACGCAATAGGTGAATCTCAAATGCGCTTACTCCCCACCAAGACTGACGGTGTCATCATCAGATGAAGTTATCCAATATATAACTTTACTAGCTGCTACGCGACTACGTCTGCGTAGAGTAGGCTAAGACAGATATACATATGACACAAAAATATGTATATAAATTATAGCCTATGTCTTATTCTGATGTATTAGCAATAACATTGTAAAGTTTCATTAAAATCCTTACAGTAGTATTTGCGTGAAAGAGTAACAAACATCCATCAGTGAACAGTGAAATTATTAATTTTAAGTGCTGGATTATCACGTGCTCAGCGGGTCAGGAGACCATCTTGAGGAACATCGTAATGACGAAATAAAAAGGAAAATACCCTCTATACAGAGCATGCCTATGACCAGCAGTGGGAGTTGGCATCATCTGTGACAAATAATATTAAAGGTGGTGTGTACCTTTAATTCTTTAAAGAACGAAATTTGTTTCGTTGCATGAAGTAGACCTTTTGACGTTTGAGAAGCAATGGTCTGTTTCTCAAAAGTCCAAGAAAATGATTTATTCTTGAAGCGAATAACTACTGACAACAAGAAATGGGTTGTTTACAATAATCTCCAAAGCAAGAATGGGCTAAGAGTAAATGGAGGAAGGAATGGACGGAGTGGCTAACTGTTTGCTAGGATTCAACTTCACAACACAGGTTCAACTCCTTGCAACGATAAAAAACTTTTCGTCAATTTTAAATATGTGTATCATCTTAATATATGTAATAAACACCATAGTGAATTATCACTATAGTTTTTAAAAAAATATTTTCACATTATAATATAACAAGACACCTCGTTAAGGAAAGTTTGAATTGTATTATAACCCGTTAACATTCAGTAAAAAGGTTGTATTTCGATTTTTTTTATCGTTTGTATGTTTTCGTAATTTAGTAATGGTATTGCTTTTTAAATGTTCATCGTATAGTTGCATCATTTATGTATAAAGACGAATATTTGTTTAAACTCTATTAAATATTGACGATCGTTCATAACACGAATTGAAATAAGAAGAGCAAAACTGTAAGTCTAGTTTTTAGACGATCACGAAAGCGGTGGGATGTCGCACACTACTTCTTTAGGGTTTAGCAAATTTCGCTCGCCCCATAACTGGCAAATATTTCACTTGGCCGGGAAGCCTCGGCTGTTGGGAAGGATACGCTCTAAAAGCTGCTTCTACCTCACCTGCTGCGAGCGCCATCTGTGTAATTGTTGCAAATTCAACACCCCGACGAGAAAATAATAATCACTACATGTTGATCAATATAAATTTATGTTTGTTTATCTGCACTGAACTAACTAAATTGAACCTGTGATACAATTAGATTAAGTTTTTGTTCTGATTCCCAATAATTAAATCGTTTTCCTGTTATCATCGTGAACTGAAATGGCTATTAATTGATGTGTATCAATAAATTGTATTTCAAAATCAAAATCAAATGTATTTATTCAACATAGGAGCATTACACTCACTTATTGATAGTCAAAACACTACCACCGGTTCGGAAAAGAAAGCCACTGTACTGAGAAGAACCGGCGAAAGAAACTCAGCGGGATTTTTTTTAAAATAAGCAGTTTGACATAAATTCGTTAAAATACAATATAAGAACTCCGATTGAAAGAGCCTGGAGCGATCAGTTCATTACCAGAGTGTGTTATCATTTAAATAATCATTAATATTATAGTAGCCTTTAACACACAAACGTTCTTTTACTATTTTTTTAAATTTAGCTATTGATGCATTTTGAACGTTTTCTAGAATTTTGTTGTAATAACGTATACATTGTCGCATAAAAGATTTACTTATTTTACGGAGTCTACTTGTGGGTAGGATCAATTTATTTTTGTTCCTAGTATTTATATCATGAACATTATTATGTCTTAAAAATTTATCCTTATTTTTATAGACATACAAAACATTTTCAAAAATGTATTGAGCAGCAACAGTCAATACCTTTATCTCTTTAAACAAGTTTCTTAACGATTCTTTGGGGCCCAGATTGTAAACTGCACGAATAGCTCTCTTTTGTAAGATAAAGATTGTATTAATGTCGGCCGCGTTACCCCAAAGCAGAATGCCATAACACATTATACTGTGAAAATAACTAAAATATACCAGGCGAGCCGTATCAACATCAGTTAACTGTCTTATTTTTTTGACCGCGAAAGCTGCTGAGCTAAGTCTACTCGCCAGTCTTTTAATATGGGGGCCCCATTGCAGTTTGGCATCAATAGTTATGCCAAGGAATACAGTTGAGTCAATAGGGTCCAACGCTTCCCCATATAAAAGTACATCAGTTTTTACATGTTTAACATTGGAGGAAGTTGTAAATTTAATACATTTAGTTTTTT